CTCACATACACAATGACGTATAATAATTTCATTACATCTTGCCGAACCCTAAAATCCGACGAACAGTTCATCGTCAATCTGATCTGCACTGTCATCCCCGTTAAATTACCAGGTATATTTAACTCTTGTAATCTATTTTCTTTTTTGTGCTCGGATGGAGCTGTATCCATCTATGAGTAAATCGATTCGAACCCCAGCAATAAAACGGGTTCATCTTTTGGGAAGATATGGATTTGTTTTCTGACTACAACCCTAGGTTTCTCTTATTTGTTTTCTGTGTTCCTTGACTATGCTGTTACTTATGGAATCCTGATTCTCTAGCTTTCTCTGATTTCCACTCGGGTGTCAGTGTCTTCACCAAGATCCAATGTTCACGTGGCTAATAAAGGATTTCAAGTCTTTGCAAGACCGAAGAATTCAATCTCAGGAATTCGACGCCGGTGGCTGCAGATGGTAAGAGCAAAAGTTGTTTTCATGATTCAATTGTTTTGCAGATGTTTTCATACTTGGGGATTAGGATTATTTGGCCCAATCATCTTGTTGATATTTTGCTTATGGTTGTTCAGGTGTTTACTAGTTTATCCCAATGGGAAAGAAGGAAGGAATAGCGTGTCTCTGTATCTGCTTGTTGTTGGTTATAAAGACTTGCCTCCTGGATGGAAGATAACCGCAAAGTTTTCCCTTCGCATTGTAAACAATTTTTCAGAAAGTCTCTCGGAACAAGGAACTGAAGAAACATGGTTTAATAGGGACTATCCTGCATGTGGTAGAAATAACTGGTTGCACCGTAGCAAACTTAATAATGGTTTTTTGGTGAACGGTGACCTCAAGATTGTTGCAGAAGTAGAGGTTCTCCACAAATCTGGTGTGGAGACTCATGAGGAGATGGAAGATTTAGATTATCAGTTGTAATCTCTTTTACAATTTTTTGTTGTTTGTTTTATGAACCTCTCTAGCTTTATCAGCCTCTGACTGATGAATCCCAAATAACGTTCAGGTAAGAGTATGTTTATCCATGAAACCCACGTGGTATC